AATGTAATAAGGGTTAACCGGAGAGGCAGTTTCTGTAAGCAGGTCACTAAAGATTAGGCTAGAAACAACGCTAGAATGATTCCTTTCTGCCTTCCTTAAGGATTAGCCCTGTAAAGTGGAAAATACCAAAAGGAGATTTCTTCCGACAATCGGTTCTCTGAACTACTTAGAAAGTTACCAACTGGTTCTCCCGAATAGGTGCGAACTGGCTGAATCCCACCACTGGTGTGGCTAGGTGGTCATGTGACTGGGTGGTCATGGGCAATTCAGCAGTCCATTAAACAATACATATAAATTAACATTAATTTGTTTAGCTTCTGGGGTGTTTTATTTGCTTTTGTTTGTATGTTGCTCTTTTAGTTGATTTTTCTTTTTACTAGATTGTTTTTTAAGTTGTTTAGTAGTCTAGTGGTCTACTTCAGGAAACTCAGTTTTGCAGCAATTCTTCTCAGCCCCAAAGAGCTTACAATCAACAAGTCTCTCTCTCTCTCTCTTGTCTATCTCTCTTTCCCTCCCTCCCTCCCTCTCTTTGTCCCCCGAGGAGGAACAAATCCCTGAACTAGTGCTGGGTCGTGGGAATCTGATGTCTGGAGGCCGACGAGTGGCATGCTGAAGAGTAGAGCGGGGGCCCTGGAAGGTCTGCATGCACCCGGATTTTGGCTAGTAGAGTGCTTCTCTGCCAGACAAAAATGTTGGCCTTAACTTCCAGTTCCAGCCTGCGAAGGTAAGTCCAGTGCTCAGCTGAAGGGTGGGGCCAGCAGGTGGGCAGGACAGCCTCATGGTCCTGCATGGGCCAGATTAATGGTTTTGGTGGGCCATATCTGGCCCATAGGCCATAGATTGAGGACCCCTGGTATAAGGTCTCCTGCTCAAGCAGGGATGGGTGGGGTGGACTAGAAGGCCTCCAGGATCCCTTTTGACTCTATGGTTCTTTTGAGTATGGGTTATTTTCATTTTGAAATATTTTGAACAGCTCTTTTGCAGCTTGACATTTCCTTTAATATTTTTCCTCTATATTATTTATTTACTCAAGGTGCTGAAATTAATTGTGCTTGCTCTGTGTTTATACTTTTGTTTCAAAGGCTTTAAATTCTAAATGCTTTTATCCAATAAATAAATAAATAAATAATTAATTAATTAATTAATATGACTAGTTTCTAATTTATCAGTTTTCTTCACCTTTCTCCTGTCTACCTTTCCTTTACATGTTTCATTTTCAAAAGAGACAATTTTATTTAAATCTTCAGGTTCAGAGCTTTGTTGCATTTTTTTTCTTGAAGAGACCATTTTATTTAAAATATTTAGGCTCAGGGCTTTCAAATCATTTTTCCACAAGTCTTAAAGTTGCCAAGGTTGGAGACCACTGCTGTAGAGATCCTGAAAAACTCTAGGAAGAATTGTCAGGTCCGAATAGATTTCAAAAGATAGGAAATGGCGCCACAGGCGGGGAGTTTTGCTTAGTATTAAAACATGGGGAAAGAACAGCCGATGCATTTAAGCACAGCACTTTGAGGTTCCTCATCCAGTATACCTCACAGAGCTGTTGTGTGGCTTGAGCACATTTAGCCTTCAAAGCAGAAGTGGTTTGCTCCCAGTTTGGCTCAGCCGAACCGGTAGTGGAATTCAGGCCTGGGTCGCAGAACCGGCAGTGACCCAGGCCTGCCACACTCCCGAACCGGTTTCCTTGCCACTGCCGGCATTTCGGTTTTTAGTGATTGCACATACGCTGTTCACTGAAAATTGTTCTGCGCCTGTGGGAATAACAATTTACACTGAATAACAATAGCAGTTAGACTTATATACCGCTTCATAAGGCTTTCAGCCCTCTCTAAGCGGTTTACAGAGTCATATTGCCCCCAACAATCCAGGTCCACATTTTACCCACCTCGGAAGGATGGAAGGCTGAGTCAACCGGTGAGATTTGAACAGCCGAACTGCAGTCAGCTGAAGTAGCCTGCAGTGCTGCATTTAACCACCGCGCCACCTCGGCTCATGCCTGGCACAGTGTATGCGCACACAGAACCTGCCTGGCACACGTGTTTGCGAACCGATGGTAAAACCGGCAGCATCCCACCCTTGCTTCAAAGCCCTTTTCAGCAATTGCGGGACGTTTGCAATTCCAAATGCTTCAGACTGCAGGATATGAACACCAGAGGCTGCGCGAAGCCCTCTTTGGGATACCTGGCAGATACCTCCCTGACGACGTCTCAAAGGGAGTGTCTTTCATTGCCAAACTTTTGGCGCTTCTTTTTTATGCACATGACTTCTGCTCTCTTATTTCCCGGTCTCCCTTCCTATGAAAACCGCTGCTTCGGGTGTGGGAAGCAAAGCCGGACAGTGGAGCGCAAAGAAAGCTGGGCCATCCCTCAACCATACTGAAACCCGCGCCAAGGCGGGGGGCGGAGAGGCAAGGCATCCTTCGGGCAGCGCCACCAAACCCAGGTGTGCCCGACCCTCTTCCGAGGAGAGGGAGTGGCGCCGAGCGGGGTCCTCGCTTGGCACGGGGTGGGGGGTGGGCGACTTTCCCCCGGATCTACGCGCGCGCGCGCTCGCCTGCGCGGTCTCTCCATTTCTCCATTCCCGCTCTGCCTCTCTTCCTGCATCTATAGGCTCGGTGATCGCAGGGGCTTCCGTGTAACCGGGAAGTCACCCTCTGCTACCGCCGCGGTTTCCCAACCCAGGTGGAGAGCTTTCATCCCAGCGCCCCCCTCCCTTTCCAGCAGCAGCAGCGGCGGCAACCCTTCCCAGCCAGTCGCGAACCCCGCCTCTCTTCCTCCCCGCCCGCCCCCCCGCCTGCCCCCGCCTTGCGCCGCTTACTTTGCAGGGCGCAGAGCCCCCAGCCCATGTGCTCGCCCGGCGCTCCCCTGCTGCGCGCCTCGTCTTCAGCCCCGGCCAGCAGGCACGATGTCCAGCGCGTCGCACGACCCCTTCTACTCCTCGCCCTTCGGCCCCTTCTACCGGCGCCATACGCCCTACATGGTGCAGCCTGAGTACCGAATCTACGAGATGAACAAGCGGCTGCAGGCTCGCTCCGAGGTGAGTGCGCGCAGTCAGCCCAGGCGCATCGCCTCGGAACGGTTCACCTCCGTCTTTGGCCCGGTGCACCGCAACTCCACGCCGCCTGGAAGACCGAGCGGGGGGCGCACCTCCCGGCCAGCTCTTTCTTGGGCACACGTGATCGTCGCAAGATCTCAGCGGCGGGGTTGTGGGGTGTTCTGCGACCCCCCAACCAACGTACAAACACTCGCCAGTTGCATGATTTGGAAGGGGGTAAGGGAAAAGGCAACTTGGCCCAACTTGCTGCCAGAGGTTGCGGCGGTGGAGCAGAAATGCCCCGTAAAGGGCACACATCCCCACCTCCTAGTTCTGCTTTGGAGGATCTGATGGGCCGGGGTATCTTTCCCTCGAGGCTCGGCCAATACGATTCTCCCTGCTGGTCCCAGAGTAGAAACTGATGTCCTGGATGGTTCTTGGTTTTAGCTGAAGTTGCTCTTGCGCGCGTGGCAAGGAAACAGTTAATCCCAGGGCCGGACTACTCCTTTGAGGAATTCAATGGCTTTTTCAATGGCTTTACTTTTCTGTCCCTTTCCAAGTTTTTCTCTTGGAGGTTGAAGTTAAATTTTTGGGGTTAGGGAACGGCCGCCTTGCAAAAGGCGGCCTGGGGTTTGGTTAGGTTGGCGAAGGCGTGCAAGGGACTCCGAATTGTCGGACCAGAGGCTGCCTTGCGGGATATGGGAATCAAAATGTGACCTGCTTTCTGGCTGGTGTCTTAAGGAGAATGGCTTAGATTTCCAGACACTAAACTGGGTTTGTGGATTTGGTTCCTTTCCAACCGTCGTTGTGCTTTCTGTTTAGAATTGGGGGGCTGGTTTTCTCTTCCACTAAAGTTGAAAGGAAGTTGAGGTCCCCATGGCTCCTGGAAAATGTTTATTCCGAGGTTTCTCAGATTTATACAACTCCCAAACCTACAGTGTGCTCTGATAGTCATTCCATTTCTGCATCACTTTGGAGAATCCTGCTTTCCTGAAATATAAGGGAAGGCACTAAAGCCTGGCATAGCTGCTGATACTTTTCTGCAGATTTTTACTAGATCCTCCTTCTGCTAGTTTAAGCTTGCAAATTAAATTTTGTGATTTGTGGCAGTCCAGCTTGAATTTGGCAACTGATATTTTCCATGATTACAAGATGTTTGTTTTGGAGATCACTTTCTTTTTACACTAAAAAAAGTTTTGAAAATATATTTACAAAGATTGAAGCTTATTAGCTTGAATTGATAAGATTGTAGTCAGTTGAATTTGTACCCTGGTTACCTATTGCCTCACCTGGTGTCCCTGGTTCTTGGGAAGGACAATGCTAAGATATCTCTGGGTTTTGCAGACTTCTTTAATATTTCGATGGCTTCAAAACTACCTATTTCCACCACTAGTTCTGCTCTTGTACACATTCCAGTAGAGAGGGAAAATAATGTTCCATCAGCATGTCATCTTTATAAGAAATGAATCTTCACCTCAAAATATTATCAGATGTAGGGACTTGGATTCACTGCTCCATTATCTATAAATGGATTTACTTACAGTCTGTCACAGGATTTCTTATTATAATTGGGTGTTAAAGGTGTGAATAGAATTGAACCGTTTGTCATTAACATTGTACATTTGGTAGGGTGTCTTCATAATTACATGTAGCAGCTACGTTTCAGCAATCAGGGTGACTTCTAAACATGTTAATTTATATTAAACAATGGCATCAAAGATCAAGACTGGTCACATATTTTCTGACTGTTATTAATATGCACAAGAAAGCCTTTGACATTCATTGTGCCACAAATGATGACATTTGTTAGTTGGAAAAGTGTGGTCAGCCTCCTGATTTTTGAGAACTTTCTAAACAAGTTTGTCAAAGTATCAGTTCTCGTCTCAGACAACTTGGCAATTTTGGATGACAACATGAGATACACATTAAACATGAATATGTGTGTACTTTTATTATAAATATTTTCATACAGCATCTTAACTTTTGCGAACTTGTCAATGATCTGGAATACTATTATCTCAACAATTGCTTGAACTTGTGAAGAATTGATTTCAGTCCTGGAAGGTCATTTCATGCCTGAACACATGATATATGATGGTGCCTTAGAACATGTGCAGAATCATAACAACTAGCTTTATTTTTTTCTTTCTATAACGTCTAAATACCTCCTTACAGGCCTAATGTATCAGACACCATTGAGATAGATGTCTTAAATTTCTAGTGATCTGGGATTGGGTGTTTTTCCAACAGTTAGCATCCTGTTACCTGTCTACCTCTTAGCTTCTGCCTACCTAACTATCATTTCTTTTCTAAGAAGAATAACAGTCAGAATTGTGTTCTCTTCTATACAAAGCCGGCATTCACATAATACATCTTTATGCTTTAGTTCTCCAAATTTCTAAGATGTTGTTAAGTGAGTAATTTCTAAAACACTTTGACATTTGGATGATTAGTTGAATGGAAATGTTGACCAACAATTATTGAGCTATTGTCATTTAGTAACTGAAAAGGCGAAATAATGAATTAGAAGATGTTGAGTTATTTACTAAGAAGTGTGCAAAAAGAAAGGTGCAGCTTTGATCACACGGTCAATGCTGCCATCAGACTTTGTTGAGCCCGTCTCCCCCTTCAGATGCCCCTGGTAGTATCCATCACAAACATAGAAGATGGTCTGCAATGAACCTTTGTTCTCTCTGTTTCACCTTTTCTTTCCTCTAAACTAAGTATCGAAACAATCACACTTCTATGTTTTGAAGAGTCATGTTAGTGATCATAAGATCCCATTTGGCATAGTGGTTAAAGTACCAAGCTGGAAAGTGGGTGACCATGAGTTCTCCATAGTGAGGGGGGAGGAGTATCCAGAATGGGTTTGACCTTATCCTCTCGTGATTGGTTTGAGTCAGATAAGCTCTTTGGGCTCCGCC